AACCAGATACAATGGCACTTATGCACGTAAGTCGCTGTCATAGCTGTCAACACGAAAATATTATGTAATAAAAATTGGAAAGAAGTAGGAAAAGACAGGATAAAAATTAGATATGTCAAGAAAACAAAATGGACATCTAAGTGAGCTGCGGAAGAGAAAAATGAACGACTTCAATTTCACCTTTTACTTATACTGGTCGATGGCAATGTTACATTTATTATATTCGGACCATTCCAATCACTGCCGGCCAAACCCAGTGCCGTATGAGATTGTAGATATTTCAATGGTTGATATTGCACCAAATAGGAGAGTACGGGTGAATTGCCATCGAACGGACGACGCCATGATAATTTAACTGTTCTCGAACCAACTTCAAATACCTCTAGATTTGAGGGTGTATCCGGACGCTCTTGCACCGCCAAATAGATAATTTGCTCCGCCCGACCATATGGATTCTCAGCGACACATTTATAAATGCCCGAATCGTGACGATCCGAACGTGAGATGGTCAGTTGCGAGTCAACACCCTTTTCGGTTTTCATTTCCGCTATGCTAAAGCGGAAATTATTCAAATCAATGCGTGCATTGTTGTGAGTCCAGGCGACACTAATGGGTTCATCACCTTTGGCATGACAGTCGAGTGTGACAGCATCATTACGTCGCGACGAGACGTTGCGTGATGTTTGTTCGAAACGTGCAGGTTCTGTGCAGTTGTGAATCCGGAATCGATGCCACAATGGATGGGGTGTTGAGGTCAGCGAGTGAAAAGTGTTGTTTGTTGTTATGTATGTCAGTAGTAGTAGTTGTTGTTGTTATCAACGTTGTAGTTGTATGACATGTTAGTACAGTGAATTTTGTTGTTGTTTAATTAACAAGTAACGCACATACACGTACGGACACAGAGAGGGACATCCACATCACCACCACAAGTAGATATAAAACCACAGCAAAACACAGCCCAAACATAGAAGTGAAGAAAAAGGGGGAGGAAGAGGAAATACGTAAGCAAATTACAAAATATTCACAATTCAATGGGTATGTAGTTGTATTGTGTGTTTCTGTCACTACAAGGTAGGCTACCAGCCAGCCAGCCTCGCATTCTGAGTGACTGGCACGTGTATTCTCATTCATTGATGTCACAGGGCCACAAAATACTCACCGTTGACATTGATGCGTATAATTTTCTTAAGACCAGCTCCAATATCATTCGTAGCCTGACACATATAGTAACCCTCGTCAATGTCGGTCGCCAAGTTGAGTACCAGCGAATGGTTGCGCATATTTAAAGGTTTGAAATCTGTATTCAATTTACCTGAAAGGCAAAAAGAGAAAGAAAACAATAGGAGGCACACATAAAAAATAAGTATGAATAAATCGAAATAACATTTTCGAGAAAAATGTAAGGCCATGAATGTAATTTCACATTTTTATGTTTGTTCGCTTTCAATTTACTCTAAATTTTTAATACCCTTTTCAAAGAATACAAATAAGTGAATTTCAATGCGTTAATTTCTATTTGAATCTGACAGTTTGTATTCTATCTTCAACAACATGAAATATTAATGGAAAATGATTTGTGAATAACATTACACTACATTTCTACCATAAACTGAAGTTTGTGTAGTTTTTCTCAAGATATTCTAGGAACAATTAAAAACGGTTTAATATTCAGAGGGGTAAAGGAAAATATAAGTTGTGGAATTAAAAACAAGTGTAGATATAGGCCCTCAGCGTATGACATATCCTAATCTTGTGGGGGAGGTACCCTAGATGATGAATCTAGGTTCATCATCCGATAGTCGCACTAAATATATGGCTATTATAAATATTAAAGTCTGCTATGATGACCTAACATAACAGTTATTAATATTTATACTAACCAGTATTCACCATTCGATTTGTATTATATACATATTTTTACTAAATCGGATACTCCATATGAAATTTCTGGTACTTCTACACTTTGTAGTCGAAGTACCAGAAAGTGTGAACTTTTACACGTCATATCCAGACTTAATGTAGGTCTAGTACTATTATTTGCAAAGTCTGGATGAAATTGGATTATCCGTTTGCTTCATATCATGGTTTGGTAATTTTTGCCGTGAAATGACAGTTTTTTTCATGGCATATGTGACATGTAGCGTTGTATTGTTGTAAGAAATCAATCTCATCCAACTTCAACCATAAAATGCCACTAAACACTTATACTTATACAAAACCCCAATATGCAGCCACTTTGGGAAAATAGATGTACAACCTTTAAAATTCCAAAAATGGGGCGGAATCATTATAAATGTGGTATGTGGGCTTTGTCAAAACTTCGACCTGTATATGTTTATCAACACACGGAACTCCTGATAACAAGGCCCGGGACCCACATTTCACTACACCGAGTATTATATCTCGACTAATTGAGCCTATCTAGTCATGTGTGTCTGTCCGACAGAACATTATAATTTGTAAACACGCACACAGTTATGGACCAATAGTCAAGAAAGTTTTCATGTAGGAACGGTTCTGGCCAAAGAAGATCCCTACTGTGTTTGATAACGATCGGGTAATATTTATGGCATCAAATGGACCTAATACTTTATTTTTGTCTGTTTTTTGGGTGGCTCTAGAGGTTACAATTATGAACCGAACATCACGAAATTGTACACCAAAAAAAAAGAGTTCCACGTTTGTGTGAATAATGGCAAAAATTGCATTCTTTGACGTACCGCTGACCTTTAAATTAATATCAATTATAATTATGTATCTACTCCGAAGGGGGATGTTATACATAACTATTTACAGGCTTCGATATTTATCATATATTAATTATTAATCTATTACAACACTAGAGGGCGCAAAAATAGAGTTGATCGCTGATCGGTCAAATGATCCAAGACATTTGCGATACCGGATTTTCTAGTCTGTTTAGAGGACATAATTATAAGTCGAGCATTACAAATTTTACACGGGGAAGAAGATCTGGTCTATTATAGAGCTGTTTTGATTATGATCGGCCAATATGAGAATGTTATGATTTAAATATTGAGGGTAAGAAAGAGGAGTCGTTGACCTCTAATCGTCAAGGGGGGGCAAATACCTCTAATCGGCTCAGCTCTGAATATAAATCCGTAGAGAGTTAGACTTCAGTGGGAGTTGTTCAGTGTATCATATGGTCGGCTCCCTACGACTATACTGGTCCGCTCACCTGTTTTAACTTCTAAGAACCCGGAATGTCAAATTATGTAATAGAGTGGACATTAAATTCCAAAAGTGCTAGCAATGTATTTCCAAAAGTGCTAACAATGTATTTACAAAATTGTATAACTCTATGTAAAATATTTCGAATTCAGTTGGATTTCAAAAGACAGATGAAACCTCTAAATCGACAAAGATTTTTTTCTGATTAAAAATGAGTTTTTCCTTGAATATTTCGAGATGTTGCATAGAAAATAACAAATTTAATTTACAATCCACCTAAGAGTGGATGGTATAAAAAGAAAGCTTGATTTACCATGCCGGACCATTAGCCACACCAAATAGTCGCACACATGAGACATTAGCTTCTCCACATAATCTTTTGTTTTTTCAAACCTAAAATGCGACCATACGTAACGTTAACGTTAACATAACGTTAACGTAAATAGGTCCAATCAATTAAGCTAAAATATGACGTTGTGTATGATGGTCCGGAATGTGTGCACCGATTGATTCCGTTTTTAAATTTGGTCTATGTCAGGCAAAATATTATAATGTGCAAAGTTAGGATAAAATCGGATTCCGATCGTTTCATACGTGATTTACAAGTTTTCGAGTTTGTGGCACTTTCAGATGTACCAAATGGGTCGATTTGTTCCATGCTTAACCCTTTATTGCATGACTTTTTCTTTTTGGCTGAAAAAACTCAAGGTCAAACTCAAACAGAATTAGATCTCAAAATTATAGGAACAAGTATTGAAACCTTTTTTCTAAATTATTTTTTTAAATTTTAAACAAAAAGATTGAAAAAGTCGAAATCGCGTTTTATAGCAATTTCTATTAAAATTGACAAGTGGACTTTAACCACGATTTACCATTAGCAACACATATTATTTTTTGCACTTACGTATTTCTTTATGCAATGTATATTAAAAGAATAATCGTTGCTTGGTCAGTCAAAAGTTAATATATTTTATAAATACAAATATTTACTTAGAAGTTGGTATGTAGAAATTTCCTTCAATATGCCAAGAAGAGTTAAACATTATAAAGTATTGGATAAAATATTGAACTGTACACACTTTGGTTCAAGTCGAATACTCCGTTTGAATTATAATAACAAATTAATTGGAGCTTAAGATGAACACACAGTTTTAAATCGATTCAAAATTGTCTGAAACTGATTGGGTCCAAAATACATGGGCTCTAAGCCCGATATTTCGATTATGCACATTTATATCGTACCAGAGTATATACAACCTCATTAGCCATAAGGCTCCGGGTACAAACATTGCACCTTGAAAACCCTTTGGAATAATTTCAGCATTAGCTAATAAAAAAAGATTATATACTGAGAAGGTCGGCTATATAAATTATGAAATATTGTAATTCCAACCCATATAGCCAAAAATGTAGCGGATGGGAATTATATGATTATGTAGAGAAATATACATGGAACGGTAATTTATAATAGCAAAAAAGTATCATCTTATACCTAGCCAATATGACAATAAATATTAATTTCTAAATATAAACGAAATAAATAATTACCGACATTTATATTGTTTGCCTTAAGATAAATTAAGACCATTAACATATTGATTTAAATAAATTATTCGCCCATTTCCTTAATTTTATCCCCCATTTATTTTAGCATCCATAAATAAAACCCTCTTTGATTCGTTTAATTAAACATTAATGAGATTTTCTTCTCATCTGCCAGAAAAAACCCCTATCCTCACAACAACAACTTCCGCCATCATCGTCATCATTACAACTATTTGACATACAAAAATACTTTTGTGTTGTTTAATTGAATGGATTCATCATCATTTTTTAATAGCATTGCGGATATAAGTAAATAGTTATTTACATAACAAATTTCTGTGCTGAATTGTGCGGACCAACATCCGCTTTTATAATTATTGGCATTTATTTATATATTTTGTGTTTTTGTTTGTGCAATGTTTTAGCTGCGCATAAAAAATTAACATAGTCCGAACTAATCAATTAACCTGATTTTAGTTTACGAACGGCAACGCAATGGTGTGATAAGCCATTCGCCAACCTCTCTTCCGTCCCTAACAGCATCCTGTTCTTTCATTCCCTCATTGACAGACTGAATACATTTATAAATGTTTTTACATAGTTATCCATAAAACTTGTTGTTGTTGTTGCTTTCGACTTCTCTCCACCTTCGCATTCTTATTCGGATTCATGCTCATCCGTTACAATTCAACGGTTGTGCTGCCAAAGCAAAGCAAAAAAAACGCAGTAAAAAGCATTTCAATAAAATGAACATCCTAATTCCAACGATATTCCTTTTGGCTTTGGCTCTTTTATGCCACATTGAACGTTCTGCGAGTTGGAAAGAGGAAACAGAATATCAAACTTTAATGAACTCACTTTCAGTGATTACTCGAACTATGGTTGCCGCCACAGCAGCAGTAGCAGCAGCACCAGCAATGGTAAGTGCGAGGGTCGATGACGACCACCGCATTTGGCCAACCCCGTCTATGAGTAGTGAAACGGAAAGAATATCACTACCACCACGAATGATTATTGTAAGTGTATTTAACGAAAAATATTTAAAGGTCTTTCGTGTCCATGAAAGGTAAATCTTCTCTTTCATCAGCGTCGTCTTTTCAACCCACTACTCTTTCTGGTCCTTAAACAGTAACGAATTTTAGCTCTGAATTAATGTAACGAATTCCATTGCGAAAAGCCATTTTTGTGTGTGTGTGTGTGTGGAGTGCATCCGGATGAGAAATGTTTATACAATTCTTAACAAATGTTTATTTTACTTTAGTGAATTCAATGGATGGAACAAAAGTAAACTTAGAACTAGAATCGCAGATGAAGTATTCGGAATTATTGCCAATAAAGTCGGGGTGGTATGGAAGTGAAAGGAAAAGCGAACTTAGTAGTTCCTTGAAAATGTTGAATTTTTCGTAAATTATAAGGTTTGATTTGGAAGCTCTTGCAGAAAAAATTCATAATTATTCAAATGTCGGCAATACAATGTCAACTTAAATAAGAAAAAAATCGTAGTTATTAGCTGAACCGAACTTTTTTTGGTGGTGTGTAATCAAAATCACTAACTCAACGGGACATTTGGATGCGTGATATTTTACTATACAAATCTATATAGAATCATGTCTGGAAAGATGTTTTTATTCAGTAAATATCCGATGTGCTAAATTATAGCCATTTCGATGAGAAAATTCGGTTATATACCGAAAATGGTGCGGTACATTTATGTGGGGGCTATATCAAAGTCTCCAATAATGCGGAATGTCAAATTACACTACAATTGGAAAAAAAACTCTCAGTCGGATGCTATCCCTATATGGGGGAAATGCCAATACATGAATCTATATTGATTACAGTCCGAAGAAAAATATGTTTTGTCTTTTTATGCGTATTTTTTCACATTTCAACTGCTGTAACTCAGCCAATCCTCAACCGATTTACCAAATATATATCTTGTTTAAAAAGGGTATATTGTTGATATCTTATAAAGTAATAGACCAGTCAGTGGTAATCTATGAAAAGGATTACATTCAGACCTGTCAGAATGCCGCCCTGGGAACTCAAATAGGGTGTCTCCTCATGTAGGGGATGCAGTACCAGCTTGCGTGTAATCGTGGAGATTTCGCGCCATATCAGCATGTATATGTTTCCCCCTCCCAGTTTCGACACGAAATAGCCCCAACTCTTACTGTATTGTTGGATATTGAGAAAAATCAATTTCGCAAAATTTTTGAACCGGATTTTCAGATAATAAACTCGATTAGGTTACCGGTTTCAATCAACCGATTAAAATTACATGCATATCATTTGAATGCGAAAAACATTATTAATCACATTCTTAACCTCAAACTCCGGCTATAAAATTTGAAGAACCGGATCTTTCTCCCAAGAAAAAAAATTACAAACAAATAGTTCAGATCGATCCACTCTATGGGCAAGAGATCTCATTTTTTGGTCATAAAGGTTTTTTATACCCTTCACCACACTGTCGTACAGGGTATTATGTCTTTGTGCATATGTTTGTAACAGGCAAAAGGAATCGAGATAGGCCCATGGTTCCTTTTGAGAATATGCATAGAATCACTTTCTGAGTCGATTTACGCATGTCCGTCTGTCCGTCCATGTATTTTTATGAACAAAGTACAGGTCGCATTTATGATCCGATTTGGGTGAAATTTGGCACAGTTCACTTATTTGGCCCAAGGTTGAACCCTATTGAAAGTAAATCGTTTCAGATTTAGATATAGCTCCCATATATAGTTTCGTCCGATTTTATGTAAATGATTAAAACTCCCAATATTTGACCGATTGGGACAAAATTTTGCACAGAGTACTGAAATAGTTCCAGACGTTTTGTTAAAATCGGTTCAGATATAGCTCCTATATATAGTTTCGTCCGATTTTTTGTGAATGATACACCAAACTCACAATATTTGCCCGATTGGAACAAAATTTTGCACAGAATACTGTGCAGGTCCAGACTGATGTCTGCGAAGTTTTCTTAAAGTCGGTTCAGATTTCGATATAGCTCCCATATATAGTTTCGTCCGATTTTTTGTGAATGATACACCAAAATCCCAATATTTGTCCGATTGAAACAAAATTTTGCATAGCGAATGCAATTGAGGAAAAAATGATGTGTGATAAGGATTGTTGAAATCCTATTTTGATATAGGTCTTTTATATATTTTCGTTCGATTTTATGTAAATGGTGCACCGAAGGGCCTATGTTTGGTTGATTTACAAGAAATTTGGTAGGGGGTATTAAATTGAATTTAGAGTGATAAAAAAAGAACAAAAGGTGTAAGCATGTTTGCTATGCAATTTTTCATTGATTTCAGAATGGTATGTGTATGGGGTTTTTTCAATTGGTTCAAATATCTATATAGACATTTAATTTCGTCCGATTCGATGTGAAATAAGATTTTAAAAATCACATAAAAAGAAAAATCACATAAAATGGTAGATCGAACATTAGAATAAACTAAACATTTCATTTATTTTCAGTTTTTAACTCAAATCGCACTTTTAATGTATTATCGACTTAAAACTATGCACATCTTAGTTTGTAAGTATCGGGAAAAAGAGGAAAGAGGACGATGAAAACATACGAACATCGGTAGTTTCTTTGGGGACCCTATCTTGATTGAAGATAAGAGTAAATTCAAACGTAGCCATTCAGAGCCATATATAGTTATTTTCGAAATCTGCAGCACAGAACGACGGAATAAACCAACAGGCATCAGAATAAATGCAAGAAGAGATAGAATGGCCCGAGAGTCCCAGGGTGCATTGCAAACGTTTTGGATTTACTTGAGTTCTACCAAAGTTATCACTCCTCTCAGTGTGGTGTCGAAAGACAAGAGTGTGATGGCAGAGACACTTCATCTCATCATCCGCGAAAAATTCCATCACATGGTCTGGCAGCTTATAAACTTGGTTGGTTTTTTATCTGATTCGAACTACCTACACATTGTGACTTCATTCTCGCAACAGTGTTCCATCAATTGGGTTCTTCTCAATGGCGCTTGGAACTGGACTACACACAACGGAAAAACACACATCAGTCACAATTGAATGGAAACAGGACCCCAAGGCAAATTCTACAAAAATATATCGGAGTTAAGTTATTTACGATCATATAACTTTGATTGTGAAAATGGCTGCGTTCCTTCGCAAGATATACCATCGATTCAAAATGGGACGCTTGCACCTAATCCTAAATAAAAACGATTTCCATTACTAATGTCTCATTTTGTTCGTAGGTTATTTTGCTTTTCGCAGAAGTTATAGTGAGTTATAACTTTGGGTCGAAGGTCACTCTTGGCCCAAAGGTGTCGGATAAGGCAGGGTGTTTAGAAATTCTGATTAGAATGGCACGAAAAGTACTAAAAAGTACTAAATGTGGTACCATTTATATTTTGCGAAGCGCTGGAACTAGAACTGATTGAGGGTCATTGATGGAGGGTAGGGCAGATTTATCAAAGGTTTTTTTTTAATTCGAACTCGTAAGTATCCGAAAAATCTTAAAATGCACTAAATTTGTTTACAAATTCATAGCATCTGAACAGGTAGAGTAAAAGCTTCAAATTTGAAATGCGAATCAAAGTTGAAGAGTAGAGTCGATATTAAGAGGTGGTTTTAGAAGTATGGTATAATTTGAATATGGAAGAACGCATGAAGTTGGAATCCAGAAATTTGAATCCAATATTACCGTCGGAGTGTATGATTGGGATATGTTGGTAGTTTTGGAAATTTGTACTTATGAGTACGAAAAGTACTAAATGGTACTATATTTTTGGTACAATTTGGATTTGAGTGAACCGATAGAGCTGGAATACTGAAAATTGGTAATAAGATTTCTATTGCATTGTAGAATTGATGTATGTTGGTAGTTTGGGAAATTCGTACTGATGTGTACTAAATTTGGTACACTTTAAATTTTGGATGAACCAACAGAGATGGAATCATGAAATTTGGAGTTTGATTCACTGTTGGGGGGTAGAATTAAGGAACGTAGGAAGTTTTGGAAATTTCTACTAATGTGTATTACAGGGTTGCCCATATTCGACGCACCCATTTGGAAACGCCATAACTTTTGACAGAGATGTCACATCGCTTAGTGACATACCGCGTTTGAAGCGTCAGTCCAAGCAGATTTTTACCATTTAAAAATTTTCGACGGCTAAGGATCTTTCTAATCCGAAGATGCCATATAAAAGTCGACCAAGGCGATCGGCCGAGAATATCGCAGCCGTACGAGCCAGTGTTGAGAGGTCCCCAAGAACATCCCAAAAGCGCCGTTCTCAGCAGTTGGACATGGCTCGGTCCACTTTACAACGGATTATTCGCATTGATTTGCATTTGTTCCCGTACAAAATTCAATTGACGCAAAGAATGTTGCCTGCGGACAAGCCTCGTCGATTGGAATGTGTCCAAAAAGTCATCGAAATGGCCGAAGATGACGAGCAATTTTGGAACAAAATTATCATGTCCGATGAAGTCCATTTCACATTGAATGGGACCGTAAATAAGCAAAATTGCCGTTTTTACGACACTGAAAATCCTCAGGAGATTCAAGAAGTGCCTCTTCATGACGAAAAAGTCACAGTTTGGTGCGGTGCTAGTGCGAAAACGGCCATTGGGCCGTTTTTCTTCCAAAATGAAAATGGCCATGCTGTTACCATCAATCAGGAGCGTTATCGCGACATGATGACCAATTTTGTAATGCCAATTATTCGTCGAAAGCGTATGAGGCAGTTTTGGTTTCAACAAGACGGCGCTCCACCGCATACAAGTCACATAAGAATCGATTTTCTGAAGAATTTGTTTCCGGGTCGTTTGATGTCGAATAGTGGTGATTTGGACTGGCCACCGCGTTCGCCCGATTTGACGCCGCCTGACTTCTTCTTGTGGGGATATTTGAAGTCAAAGGTTTACGTTAACAAGCCAAGGACCGTAGGAGAGCTCAAGGACAACATTCGTGAAGAAATAGCCGCTATCCCGGCCGAAATGTTGGCAAAAACGATGGAAAATGCAGCAAAAAGGGCACAATACGTCATCAACGCCAGAGGCGGCCTTTTGAGAGATATCATATTCAAAAATTGATGTAAACAAATCTACTTGGAACAAATTAAATGATTAACATTGCCAACCGCCAAATTATTTTTTTTTTCTTTGATTTAAAAAAAACATGGGTCCGTCGAATATGGGCAACCCTGTAAATGACACTAAATATGGTTCAATTTTGATTTGTAGTGAAACGATGGAGCTGGAATCCTGAAATTGGGTAATAAGATGTCCAATGGATTGCATGATGTTGGTAGTAATTGAAGTTTATACTTATGTGTACTAAATGGTACTAAATTTGATTATGTGAACAATTTGGATTATGTGAACCGATAGACTTGGAGTTCGAAGTTCGCTTATACTTGCGAGTTTCTTCAAATTATTTCAACAAAATTAGCATTTGTAAAATTTTACGTTTTTCCCAAAATTTAGTATACTATCTTCGTTTTGTTCGCCAAAAAATCGATAGAACGAAAAATAACAAAACGATAAAGTAGACAACATTGTATTTACTTACCTTGTCCTTTGAACCAGGTAATCGTCGGTATCGGATATCCTTCTGCTTCGCAGTTTATTGATATTGTATTGCCAAGCATTATGGCCGTATCCATTGGTTCGAAAGACCAGCGTGGTGCAACTAAACGTGATCAAATAAAATAAGACAATATTTAAGTATATCAGTGACTAGGTACAAGTATATATGTATTTCCGAGTAAAGTAAACGGTCTCGTAAATACATATGTATTTAAGGGTATATTGAAACTAGTCGATACATGAAACACAAAAAAAAAAAATACAAAGTAGTAGTGTATCAAATTAACGGAAAAAAGAAACTAAGGATATCCTACTCGTTTTCTTTCTGCCAAAAGAAGTAGTATTAGTTTAAGGATCAAAGGATACTGATAGATGGGGATGATAACAAATATTCGCTTTTTGGGGATTAAAGACATTAAGGGATGTATTTAATATAAAAATAAGTCTTTTGGGGATTAGGGTTTCGTATATTAGAGTTTTTTGTTATTCTCGTTTCATTTCAGGTGAACTGAAAAAAAGTGAAAAGAAAAAAGTATACGAAGTAAATCCATTGTGATTTATTTTACGTCATTTTATTAAGTATATAAAGCACTTCGAGAAAAAAACATTTCTTGGCAAATTAAAACAATATAATGCAAAATATATGTTTTTCTTTTGCATGAATAAATAATGTTGTTCAATGTATTTCAATTAATTTATAAATGCAGTTTGACATATGAAATGAAAAAGTAATAAATTGCTATTATGACGTTTTTCAATAACATATCATATGAAATGAATAAAAATTGAATTCCTAGTATTCAATATGCCAGTTTTTTTTAATTCATTCATTTTTATGTAAAACCAGTTAGCGTAGCAGTATAGTCGGACGGGGCCGACCATATGATACCCTACACAACATTCACGAAAATCTAAATTTCTGTGGTTATATATTCTGAGCATGGAAAATATTTCGCAATATTTGCACAATCTTGACGGACTAGAGGTCAATAAATATTACTAATATTCAGTAAATCCCTTCCAATTACTTGTCCAGATTGCTTTCACCGTGGGTTGTGTTATGATGTTCGACTTTCAATTGTGGCCTGTATATTGACTAGAAAAAACACAAAAATTAAGTCGTCGGTCCACCTCATCTCAATATTATTATTTGATCATCACCTAATTTTCGGTAGGCGTTATCCTTAATCATACCTGGATACTCATGGAAAATTTCAAAGCGATCCGCGCTGTATTTCCGCCTCTAGTGTGGTAATGTGTTACTAAATAATATCTGAGTACGTAAGCACCTGTAAATATTTAAATGTAACTCCCACATTTGAGTACATACGATAATAAAATTGGTATACATTTAAAGGTCAACCACTCCTCTTGGATATACTATCAACCTCTCGGCTCTATGTCAATTAGGAGTAAATATCTACGCTATAGAATACAATTTTTGTCATTTTTCACATAAAAGTTAGGGTCCATTTGAACCGCCAAATATTGACCGATCTTTATCAAAACAGGCACTCTTATTCTTTGGCCAGGCACTCGATATTTGGGCCATAATTGCGGCCTCTGGAGCGACCAGACAAAAATAAAGTTTTTGGTCCATTTCATCCCCTAGATATTAACCGATCTTTACCAAAAACAATAGGGGTCTTCATTGGGCAGAGCCCATCCTACATGCAAAATTCATGAAGATTGGTCCATAACGGCGGCCTGTATCGTGTTTACAAATTAAAATGGACAGACGGACGGACCCACATGTCTAGATGGACTCAGCTAGTCGAGATATAACGATCGGTATACTTAAAGGTGGGTCTAGGACCAATATTTCGCGGCGTTACAAACTCTTGCGGCTGCACAAAGCTATAATACCCTGACAACATAGTTGTGTAGGGTATAAAAAGTATAAATGAATGTATTTTATAATCCGCATTTTGAGCAGTTTTAGATACTACACCTCATTAGATAAAAGACTTTCCTTTGCCAATTTCTGTATTATTTTTTTATAAATTTCAAATGTTTCATAAGAAAAGTGAAAAGTCGTAAAGTTCGGCAGGAAGAACTTTTATACCCCCACCACTTGATGTGTCTTCAAAACTTCTTAAGTCGATTGGGACATTTTTATGAGGACTATGTTTTTTGCTTTTGTGGTAGTACCGATACCAAAACTTGGATCTACATACTCTATTCTCCACACAAGAATTTGTACCCTTATGTGAGGGCCACTGGAAACTTGGGTCAATATTTATAATTTTTGGTAGGCAGATGTTTTATCTAATGAGAATGTAATAATTTAGAGCCAATTTGGCAATATAAAATACTAAATAGCTTCCAAATTGGTTAAAACAAATGCCCAAGCTGCTCACAATACATATTTTCGGAATGCAGCGTTAAAAGAGGATTTCCCTAAAAGGTGGACCAATATCAATTATTTGTAGTACGAAGATTTACTATCATACCACAGCCCATAATAAAAAAAATACCGTCCATTAAATTGCATGCACCCAAATATACCAAATGCATCGAGTAATGGCGAATACTGTTATATGGAGGATACCCTAAAATGTGGATCAATATTCAGTTGAACAACACGAAAAAAAGCTCATAAAGCAGAATTTTTAGAGAAAACCTTTATATGGGGGTTATATTAAAACGTGGACCGATAAACCCTATTTGCAATACCAATAATAGCGATGACCGTTCAAAGCTGTATTGCGATCTCTACGCGCAGAAATCGAAATATAATTTTATTCTAATCATTAATGTATATGGACAATATTGGCAATTTTTTAAAATAGCTGAAGTCGAGGTTTACCCCTTTAAAACACCGGAATTATTAAAATACATGAGACAAATTGAACAGGGTTGGATTTATTGATGTGTCGTTGCAAACTTTTCATGTTATTGTCCTACAAAGTTTATTTTTGTGGAAGCTGTGTCTACTTTAACACTAGAAAGACGGGAATTTTGTATATACCTATATTGCCTAAAATCGGTCAAAATGACCGCATTCTGAAAGAATTTTTATTGTGTAAAGAATTTTTATTTTTAAACTAGTTTTTTAATATTTTTTACATTATTTACAATCATAAAAACTTTGTTATTATTTGTTTTCGAAAATGTTCGAAAAAGAGGAAGTCTTTACTCTGAAAGTGAAATCGACTGGAAATATAAAATTTATTTTTCCCGATTTGTATGTTCGTTTGTGTTTCTAGAGTAGCAAACGGGTTTCGATGTTGTTGTACTGATCTGGTCATATAAGAAATTTTCTTTATACAATAATAAAAGTTGTTTGTTGATGAGTGTTGATGATCAGATAATAAAATTTGGTTGAAGTGGACCGAAAACTTAATTTTTTGTGGTTTTCGAGTCGATCACAACACGACCCACGATGAAGGGAATCTGGACAAGTAATTAGAAGAGCTGTACTGAATATTAGTAATGGTTTTTGACCTCTATACGGTCAAGAGGATGCAAATATCGCGAAATATTGCTCAAGGTCAGAATATAGAACCACCGAATGTTATATTTTCCTGGAAGTTGTGTAGGGTATCATATGGTCTGTTCGGTCCGACTATACTGCTATGTGTTTTTTTTGTACCTAAGTGTTTTCAAATTGTATTCTTAAAACTATTGTATAGTTATCTGACAAATTGCCTTCAAAGAAGCGCTGATCTTTTGTCCAGGTATATTGAAATTTTTAGGTCACTGAAATAACTTAGGCAATAGTTTTCATGTACTGAATTCACATTTGTATATTTTTTTAGCATAAGGTGGAATCATTCCGTTTTTAGACTTAAACATATAACCCGGCGACCTCATATTATTGCTCAAATTAAAATTCTATATGATATACATTTCGGGTAGACCCCCTCCTAAATTTCGATAGTTGGAGGACGTTTTTTAATCGAATTTGCTATATTCGAATGCTATGTATTTTGACTCATGTTGGATGATATGTCTTTTATATCGGTTCTTTTTTTAATTCGAAATCTGGCAAACCTAGGCCTAGGCATGGTATGTTGCTACCAGAAAAAATTACTAAAGTTATGAGTACCATTATATAATCATGGACTTATATTGCTAATTAAAAAAAAAAAGATTTGACACTCTATCAGTTCCACAAATATATAAGTACATCCAATTTGGTTAAAAACGTGTATGACATTCTGAAAATACCGAAATTTTGTACTACTGTTATGTAGAATATATTACAAAACGTGGAACGGTACTGGTCACTTAATGGGTGAGAGTTACCATTCGATAGGGGCTACTCCGAAATATGTGCCAATATTGATATTGTTCTCCTAACGAGAATCCAATATATAAAAAAAATTACCGACAACATCGTTGATACAAGTACCCAAACACTATAAATAAATCCGGAATCTAAAAAGTAGAGTAATATTGATTTTTTTAGAAAAATGTAATGGTCAATGAGCTGCCGAAATACTAAATTAAAGCAAATGTGTCCAAAATACAAAGTATTGGATGGAACCCTGGTGTTATACCACAACAAATTTTCAATAACAATAATCTTAGGAGATTACGTTTAATCGTAATTTGATGAAGAAAATATATACTTGAAATAAATACACTCCACCTTATAGCAGATGCTTTCCAAATTATCTGATATCTTCGATATCCAATGAATTTCCACAATATACAACTTAGATTACAACTTAATTCAATTAATTTAATTACTTGATAAAATTACAGTTTCAATATACCAATAAATAACGACGACTTTTATCGAATGCAAAACAAGATTTTCAACTCACCTCTAACTTGTAATTCAGCTGTGTAGTTAACCTTGGCAGCAGCATTGCTGGCATAACAGGTGTATTTGCCACTGTGCTTAGCACTGATGTCCTTAAAAACAAGCAGCGAATAAAACTCCTCTTTTTTCTCGGAAATCTTTTGTTAATTGAAAACAAAAAAAAAAAGATGGGAACAAAAATAAACCATAAAACCATAGATTACTTTAAAAACCCAACAACGGTGTATATCCGAAGATTTTTTGAACAGACAACGGCACAAAAAAAGAAGCAGAAGAAGAACATAAATCCTTTTTATGTCTGCAGCTAAAGACTTTTCATTGTGTCGAAGTATTTTCATGTTGTTGTTACTATTTGTCTGGCATAACAAGAATAAAATTCAGATCCGCATACACACACGTATAAAAATATACTGATATCCCTTGGCCTTGTAACAAAAAAAGGCAACTTTGATACAAAAGACCCAACGGCAGGATATTGAGTAAGGGCGAGACCGACCTACACATTTATATTAGTGCCCCAAAGGATAATGTATTAAATTGTGTGTGTTATTAGAAATGAATAAGTATGTGATTTCTCTTATTCGTTTTCAACGCTATGGTCGGTAAGTCTTCCTTCCTTCCATTTTTTGATAATATTTTCTTGTCTGTTTTCGGGATTTCATCTTTATTCTCCCTCTCCTTGTTGGCCATTCAAAAGATTATCACTTACCTGTAGACTTGATGGTATAGACATGTCATCCTTTTTCCAACTGAAAAATATGGGCATATCACCCGAGGATACGGCACATGTGATTTGTGCCCTTCCACCTTCTTGCAGGTTTTTGGGAAACTTAAATGGTTCGATAACTGGAGGGCCTGCAAAATAAAAAAATAGATGATATAATAATGGAAAATTGAAAAATGCAATAATAATAATGTGTAAATAGTTTCGAAAATTGTAGAAAATTGATTTTTAATTTGGGGATCAAGAATGGGAGGTTTCTCCAAAAATATAAAAATTGTGAGTTGGTGGTGACATTATTTTTGGTCAATTTTGAATTGTTGAACTTAAAACAAAAATAAACAAGTGGACGTATCAATGTAGTCGGAGAACTAACCACATTGGTTCTAAATCTCGATTCTGTGCGAATATTTTCGATAGTTGCCCCATATATGAGTACCTAATATTTCTAAAACATAGAAGAATATGTAGAAACCAGCGAATATTTTGGTAAATACTTAAAATTAATTTAAAGTTCAAAATATTTTCTTTCATATGTTGGGAAGTTATGTAGATGGCTTCTTTAAGAAAATATGTACGCCATAGGATGAAAATTGTATAATATTTCACTTTGATCATCATGTTTATTCTTTGTCCAGATCCACTCCCCGTGTCAAATTTCTAAGTATTTGGATCATAAATACGGTGTATAAAACGATTAGAAAATCCGAAAAAAAGGATTTTGGTCCATGCACCTTAACCGATGATCATCAAAAACTATTGGTGTCAACCTTGATGGTTCTATTTTTGAAAGAGTGATAATGCCAATATTGAGCATTATCAGAATATGTAAACCGATGTATATATCGAGTACAGACATCGATATAAGTGGTATAAATTTAAGGTTCAACCACTCTACTTGGGTGTATTGTCAACTTATTCGGTCTATGTCTTTACGGATTAAATAATCGTATATATTTACCACGGAAAAAAATACGTAGATAGATAATATCCAAAAATTTCATTTATTTTCACACAAAAATCTTAGTCCATTTGTCTTAGTCTGCTTCCTTCATTCGGGTCTTTCGTGATGTTCGGGTCATAATTGTGAACTCTAGAGTGGCTAGACGCACAGACAAACATTTAGTTTTTGGCTGATTTGATCAGGTGTCGTCTTTGGCCAGAACCGAACCCACATTGTAAAAATTGTGAGTGATGCATATCAGCGACCGGACCCACATAGCTAGATTACTTCATTCCCATAATATTATTTTATTTTATTTCATGTCCAAATCTTCGTATTGATTGGACAGACGTATATTTGATGCATATATTATAGAGATTGTTTCAATACAAAATATTGATCATAGATCCACCATTTAATATATCGATTATGATGTCTATGTGCGCCCGTCCGTACTTTTTTTCTTTTTCGAAGACGATCAAAATATGTTAGAAAGTCGAATAGGCTTCAAATGTGTAAGATGATAGCGATCTTATTTTTTTTATGAAACAGTTTTACAAACGATTTATGAAGTAGCAGGGTCCGTTATTATTTCCCTTAAAGCGGCCCAAGAGTTCCAGATTTAATACAAACTTTGAATATCGTCATATTTGTTCCAAGAATATCAGACCACTCCTTTAGGTTAGTCCCCTACAAATCGAAAAGATTTTGCGGAAAAATAAGTTTTTAATATCTTGAGAAAGGATTATCTGAGTTGCTACAAACGTGTACGCACGGAGAATTTCTAGACCCACTCCTTTTAGTACCTCTCCCTACAGAGGGTCAAAATTTGTGAAAATGTGGAAATCTAATACGAAGCTTTTTGATTTACTTCTAGATCATATCCGCAGATGCAACCAATCGATTTACTGCTTCCGGTAACGATCCACAAAGATGTTTCCAAAGACTTGGGGCAATGAAAGTGTGGTGTACTTTTCGGGCTTGTACACATAGATCCGCGATTCGTCACCTGTAATGATCTCACAAACCTTTAGAAGCACCGCATTGGTATTTTTTCATGTTCGGTTCAATCTCCCTACCAAAATTAGTAATATTGGCCCCTTTTTAGATTAGCCCGTTAGTTTTGTATTATCATTGGACAGAAAATTTCCTTGTTTCCCACTGGGTGGAAAAGTACCCTGTGCAAAGTTCTATAGCTATCCAATATTTACATAAAATCGGTCGAATCACTCAAGAATCAATTCACTACGCTATGCAAAATTTCGTGCAAATCGAAAGAAATATAGAGGCTTCAATGCACCATTTACACAAAATCGGACGAAGAAATGTGTGGGAGCTATGTCTAAATCTGAACCGATTACAACAAAACATAACACACGTCACTCTTAATCGGAATATTATTAGTCACTTTATTGCACTACAATTGTGTGTTTAGTTATGTCCTTTTGTTTCAGAAAATTTCATGTCGAAGAACATAATAACACCTTTAAAAAGAAGAAGAAAAAAAATCAGTTAAAAAATTTTCAGTCATGCTCCATTTTTATAGATTTTATAAACGAGATAGACCCCTGGTTCCTTTTGAGAATAAGCATAGAATCACTTTCAGAGTCCATTTATGCATGTTTGTCTGTCCGTCCGTCTGTACATGTATTTTTGAGAACAAAGTACAGGTCGCATTTATGATCCGATTTGGATGAAATTTAGTACATGTCACTTATTTGGCCCAAGTATCCTATTGAAATTGGAGAAAATCGGTTCAGATTTAGATATAGCTCCCATATATAGTTTCAACCGATTTTAGGTAAATGGTGCACCAAACTCCCAATATTGGTCCGATTGAGACAAAATTTTGCACATAGTATTGAATTAGGTCTAGATTGATGTATGCCTAGTTTGGTTGAAATCGGCTCAGATTTAGATATAGCTCCCATATATAGTTTCGTCCGATTTTATGAAAATTGTGCACCAAACTCGCAATATATGTGTCCGATTGAGACAACATTTTACACATCATACTCAATTATGTCCAGTTTGATGTATGTGAAGTTTTGTTGAAAACGGTTTAGATTTAGATATAGCTCCCATATATAGTCTTGTCCGATTTTAGTTAAATTGTGCACCAAACTTCTAATAATTGTCCGATTGAGACAAAGTTTTGCACATAGTGAATTAGGTCTAGGTTGATGTATGCCAAGTTTGGTTGAAATCGGTTCAGATTTAGATATAGCTCCCATATATAGTTTCGTCCGATTATATGCAAATTGTGCACCAAACTCGCAATATTTGTCAGATTGACACAAAAGCAATGTGTGAAGTGTTTTTAATAGGTCGATTTCAAAGGTCCTCCAAAGATGATATGTCTGTTGTCTCTACAGGATATTGTAAATATTAGCATATCTTGTATGCACCAAAAGTGGTGAAGGGTATCATATAGTCGGCTCTGTCCGACTTTTGAACTTTCCTTACTGGTTTTTCTCCTCTAAAGTTAGTAAAAGTGTAGTTACATCCGTTTGCATTTATGATGACGATATGATGTTTGGATGGACGTAGTAATTCCCATGCATCGATCTAAAACGTTGATTACGAAAGATTTAAATATTACTGTAGGGATGAATCATTGCATGATGATGGCTTTGTATTCAAATTGGAAATGAAATGGATCACTGCCATCTATGACTGAATATTCAATAGATCAACAGAAAATGTTTAACACTTGTTGCTGTCTCTGTTTTTATTGGAAATAAATTGTCAATTTTCATTGAAATTGGGTGAAAATTTTAAGACCCTCTGTATGGGAGGTATAACAAATCTTAGTTCCATCAATCGAGTTGTTTGTCACTTGTTTTGAATGCTTATTTAGAACTAAACTGAAAATTTTCATGGAATTTGGTTGAACATTAAAAACTGTTTAGCCAAACAGTTACATTTTTAAGACCCGTTGTTTGGGAGGTATATGTTGGTTTTATATATCCAATTTGTTGTTGTTTTTTTTTTTTAAGACAACAACAATAAGTTGTACAAAATTTCATTCACATACGATAACTCCTTCTACTTTTGACCACCGTGACATTGTGTAGCGTCTTTTAGAATGATAACAATGGAGCGACTGAGGGTCAATCTTAGAGTCAGTACAGTAGAAGAGGCTTTTTTGAGCGATTATAAAAAACCAACCTTCTTTTAGGTCAGTTGTGCATGGACATTTAATGAAGGAAATACTATCTTACGGTATATCGCATATATGTAGATCATGCAAGGCAAATACTTTGGAGGCCGTTATTGGACGACCTCCACGATCTACGTCTTTGATAGATAGTTCCATACAAAAATGCATCGATGCACATTATTATGGCACATTTATTATATAAATTTTATGCACAAAATTTCCAATTTTAATGTCAGCGAAGCCAGGCAACATTTATTGTTATGTAGAACAGAGATTTAAGTAGGAGCCCTGTGCCGTATCATTCTTCATAAGTTCCAAATACAGATGGTAAAATATTTGGTACCTATAAGTAATATTCGTGTCCATCTAGAAGAATATAGCCACATACAGGAAATAACAGTTCTAGTTCAATACGAATCCGCGAGGCACAATTTTTAGTACTAGTTTTACTCGTTTCACCTCTTATATAATATCTGTTTAGGCTCTTATTGTCTGTTTTAAATTTTTCTGATTCACACGTATTCAAGATATTTTGTGTAATTGTCATGAACCAATAGCCCAAATTTATTTCCCAGATGTCAAGCAATGTCGAGCAACACTTTTTTGTTATTTAAATTCACCCATGTGTAAGGTGCATAAATCGTTTGATCTGTGCAAATCTAGTTCACCTTAGATGTTTTCGTTCGTTCGGACAAGCTATTCTATGAATCACACACACATATTTTCAAATTTATGTCAATTGTACAGTCAGAAGTTCGCACAAACATACACACACATACACAGACACACTTCTATACACCTATATCTACATTTTTGTCATATAACCGTGTTCCCAATTGTTAACAAGCTAAAAATATTCCCTTAGGAAGTAAAACTGAGATAAAATTGAGTCATTGAATTTCAAATAATGTTGAATGGAAACATCATCGTCATATCTACATGTCGATGGTTGTTTCCGTTTTTGAAGGTGGGTGGTTGAGGGGCAGGTGGAGGGATGGTAGGTTAGGTATACAAAAAAAATCGTACATAGAATACTTACTATTGACATTCAATTGAATATCACGTCGTGCTTCCTCTCCCGTGCGAACTTTAACAATACAGGTGTAGATGCCCTGGTCACGAGTCGGTTCAACATTCTTGATGACAAGATATCCTCCCTGTTGGACGGGTGCTAAAGAGTAATGGGAATCTGCAACAGAACATAAATGCACCAAAAACAAAAAAAATGTGAAAAACAAAAATCTTGTTAAGGGTCATACACTACAACAACAGCAACAAAACGATAGTTGTATATAGAGAAATAACCATTTAGGTTGTTATAAAGTTCACATTCATATAGTGGACACATATGGATTGAATGTACTGGCAATTTTTTGCATGTTCGACGAACGTGGAGGTAGGCAAAAGTTAATAAAATAAAATTCAAAATTTTGTTTTGGGTACCGAAATTCTATTCGATTATAAAATTGTTGGAAACCAGTATTACAGAACCTGCAGGATTTTGCCAGAATTTAGGGCAAAATAAAAAATCTTGAGAAAATTATTTTTTGAATGGCTACTTTTTAAAATTCTTGCATATTCTGAAACCCAGTAAATTTTAATTTGATTTCTCTATTCCCAATGTTCGTCACTTTTAGAAATCTGAAAACTTTTACATGCCTCCACGTTCCCACTGAACATACAATTTGCATATTTGTTGTTTGAATGTTCATCGATTTTTGTTGTAGTTGTTTTATTTTCGATGTCCATTCTCTATCGATGTCTAGCTAGCTAACATTGGCAATTTGTCTTACTTGTTGTCAGTTCATGATGTCCTTGCTCCCATCTAATTTGTTCTATTGGATAGCCGGAAAACGGACAATGTACTGTTACATCTTCGCCGGCGACAGCTTTGATGGGTCCAATGGCTCGCACATATGGTGGTCCTGAAATAAAAAAATGTATAGAACGGAAGAATATTAAAAACGAAATGTATATAAGTGGTGGTTTGACATTATTGAACGTTTAAGTAAAGTAGGGGATGACTGCATACATATCTACATGTATATAGTGCTTGGTTTAATGATATTATTGGAACTAATGTGTATAATTGGATAAAAAGACAATTTAAAAATTTACAATATGAGCAAAATGTTATAAAAGAGAATTTGTATTTCGTTTAAAATTGCACAGATTGAAATTTAAGCTTTGAGTTTATTTTACAAGATGTCAAATAGGAAAATAGTAGCATGCAATTTACTATATTATTGAGTAAATTTTCCATCATAACCTGAAAGAATATTTTTAACACACCCAAATAATCTTACGATAATTGGGTTTACAATTCGGATATGCCAAGATCTGTCCTGTCCTGATATTCATAGGAGCATAGGACTTTTACAAAGCTACTACTACTAGGATGTTTGGTATTTAAAATTGAATATATCGATTCATTTTGAGGAGGTTGGTCCTCTTAGATTGGAATCTCAAATATTCTATGTTCTGGAGCACGCTCTTCAATATAATCAGCTATAATTTGGTATTTTGAATTTGGTATTCCATAAGCCGAGCTTAAAAAGAATTTCCAAGCGTGTCGGTCTTGCGCGCAGCTCTTCCAAATTTGAAATACCATGCTTCGAAATATTGCCTTCCACTTCATCTTTTGTGCTGGGGCATTCTAATCTATTCTCACAACATGTCCAAGCCAACGTAGTCGCTGGTTGATAATTACAATGTCAGGGACTTCGGATGCATTTCTTCTGGAGAGGAATGTAAGTCTTTTTTACAAATATTTGAAAATAACTTTAAATTGTTTGGATTTGAATCCGGCATCCTTTGATTTGTAGTCTGGTATATTATCCACTTTTTGAGGCCAATTGACGAACGTGCATGACCGATGTCCATGCGACGTTATTTTTGTTCAAAGTTTAGAAATCGATCGATATACCAACACGCAGTAATTTCTCTGATAGCGATTCGACTACTATCCATAGTTGTTGTTGTAGCAGATAATACTTTGTTCGCGCCCAATATGAATTGAGGCGGCTACCTACCAGATTTCAATTGTACCAAGGCCACTCTGGTTTGTCGTGGTAGCTGCTGCTATCGTAGGCGGGTGATCAATAAGATGATGATTTTTATGGCAACTTCTATAACACCCAAACATCGATAACATCTTGTTGTGTTTAAGAAAAGGAAGGATCTTCGTCTCCTGTTCCTGCTCTTGACCTTATGGTAAATAGTTGTGGCATGATCGAACGATTTATATAGGCTATCGAATGTGACCCCTAGAACCTGCATATTGAAATATAGCCGCATCTCCGTTGTCCATATGGTAAACAGTGTGGTCGTTGAATTAGTGGCAGATATTTCCATATCCTCGCCCAGAAAAAAAATCATCTATATACACGAGATAGTTGTTCAGCATCTCGCAAATGTCATCAGTTTTCGGCCCTGACGCCATGATCGTACAATCATCCATGTTTGACCCTATGGGCCTTTGAATTCCTATTTCTGAAATCCATGTATATACGTACACATATAATTTAAGATCCAACGTTTCAATCTTGCAGGATTGTACTTTCCACGTCCTCGAACAGCATGGCGTGACTGACGGTATGAAATGCTAGCTACTAGCGACAAAAGTGAGATCGGCCTGTATGACTACCCCTAGCAGGCATCATTGCCTGACTTTAGTAGCGGGACCACTCTGCCATTTTCCAGGCATCGCACAGTGTCACGACCGCGGCCAAAAATGGTCAAAACCAAGTACCACGGAGGATAACTTTTTTGATGAAGATTGATAGAAAACACTCCAATTAGATTAAATATGAAATTTTATATCGATATGTCAAGTAGTTTTGTCTCTACAAAGGTTCAAATCTGATAATTATTTATAAACTGATTTTTTACCATATTTTCGAAAAATGGGTGTGTTTTTCAGATGCTCAAATATTTGAATATTCAAATTAACGGTTATTATAAAAGTGTTTATTTTGGTTGCTGTGGATGTAAAAACTAGGATTCGCTTTAGTTTGTATGTATATAGATATCATATGGTGTATACAGTCGTCCACACTTGTAGTACTTAGATCATCAAATTTTTAAAAGAAATTTTGAAATTAGTGGAGCAGAAAAAAAAAGTTTAAAAAAGGTTAGCTCTAATTTTTCTTTATTTGAGTGGTGAAAAGTGTATTATTTAAGGAATAAAAAAATTAGCTGCGGAGTCCTGCGGTCCTAAGGGTTATTTAACTTTTTTGGTGACCACCTTATGAAAAAATATGGCATATTCATGAAATGGTTAGAAGCGAATGGTCAAATATGTTATGTATACAATCAAATAAGTTATTGAGGGTCAAGTAGGAAGGAGACGATGTATTCAGAACATAGAAATAATACAATATTTTACATAAAATTTGCAATTAAGTGGTAAAAACGTTATTCGAAGCGAAGATATGGGAGAATTGGTTTTAAAATATAGCTTTTAAATAAAATTTCAGTCAGTTTGAAGATTATACTTATTTATCAGATCATTTGAGACATAATCTTATAATCTAAATTTAGATGTCGCACATGAATTACATTTGTGGAAAGTTCATACAGAAAAATATTAGTACAAAAATATTAAATATTATTATTATAATATTAGTACAAAATATTAGTACAATACCTTTTGAGCGACTTTCACAAGATGCTAACAAGTCATGCCAACAAATAATTAGTAGCAGTCCGAACTTTTGTTAAAGCCGAGTTAAATAAGGATATTTAGAATTTTATATTACAATCCGACCTTGTAATAACCTTAAACAGCCATAAGGTTAAGACCCGAAATTATAACATGGATGATACTAAATCGTACATTTGGGAAGACAATAGTTTATATATCTCTGATGTGCGTTTTGAAAATTTTGTGAATGATAAAAAAAAGTAATTTATTTATAACTAAAGTATATCAAATATTTTATTATAATAAAAATAACAAAAATAAAACTACTATACTTAATTTAGCTGCATATAACGATTTTACATTTTTTACATTTTTACATTTTTAGGGACTTTTGGTATGATAGGTACCTGAAATATGGGCCAACAACTAAATTACAGCACCTATTACTTTCTTCGCCCAAATTTGATGTAATTTGGAAGAAGACATGAAAAATTTCCTGCAATTTGGATGAATATAAAAAATTATGGGTCCAAAAAGCGGATTTTTCAAGACCCTTCGTATGGGAGGTATATCAAATCTTGGCCCAATCTACCCAGTTTTTGGTCCGTTGCTTTATAGGCATAAGCAAATGTAAATTGCCAATTTTCATTGAATTTGGTTGAATATTAAAGATTATATAGCCCAAAATAGTAAAATTTTCAAGACCCTTTGTATGGGAGGTATATCAAATCTTGGTCCGATCTACCCAGTTTTTGGTCAGTTGCTTTAGAGGCCTTATTAAATGTAAATTGCCAATTTTCATTGAATTTGTTTGAATATTAATAATTTTATAAGCCAAAAAGGGTGACATTCTCAAGACCCATTGTATGGGAGGTATACGAAATCTTGGTCCGATCTATCCAATTTTTTGTCAGTTTCTCTTTAGGCCAATAATAAGCACATGTACCAAATTTCATTAACTTACGATAACTCCTTCTATTTTTGGCCGCTGTTTATATGAACTCGCGACATAGTGCATCGTGAACTAGTATTAGGGTGGTTAATGTCAAGTTGAGAACTTTAGTTAGGTACTCTACTCCTGGCTCATCAAGCTGCTTCAACATGACCATGGAGATTCCTTCCAGACCAAGCGCCCGGGATGATTTTGCGATTCTGGTAGCACTCCCAACATCCTCCAAACGTAAATTGTAGTGGTTCCTCCTCCAATTGAAGATATCGTATACGGCGCAATACTCTTATCTTCGCCCTTTCACTCTCGGGGTGCTCTACAATTTTCGGGTTTAAACAATTCGCTCACCTTTTCGGATCTGTCACCTCAATGCCGTTTAATGAGACAGACGCCCGATTATCATTCCTTCAGATGTTCTAGGCACTTGTTTCGCTTGTGCTTACCGACTAACGTATTCACTTACATCGCCAGTTCTCTGATTCTGGGGTTAGTAGGCTCATCACGCTAATCTCGCTGCCTCTGCTGGGAAGTTTGGTCTATAGCGATTGGTGAAATTTCTGGATTACAAATTGGATTTCCTATGGTTTAGGAAAGTACGGCGTTCAGATGTTATGAAGGCGGATCTATATGATAATAGTGAGGTGATCTGACTCCAATGAAATGACGGGTTGCCAAACCACGTTATTTGACAGACCAAGCGGCACGAAAGCTTTGATCTGGAGCTTTGCGTCTGGAAAGCTTTGACAGTCTCCCCTCATCATGGTGCTCTCGTTCACCGTGCAAAACGTTGAATTATCTATTTACTCGACCAGCGCTATGCCCCTCTGGTCATTATATAGAACGGAATGCCAGAATGGTACAATAGGAATACTAAGCCTCCACCTCTCGAACGATCCTTCATTAAGACGTTGTATCCATCACAACTCTGCAGACTGCATGTGCTGTTCAGCTGGATAGCCGCGACGATAATACATCTGCGACTCATGAAATCCACGATCTGGTTGATTTTCTCTCGAAATGAATTGCAAATGAATTGGTGAAATTAGACATTATTATGAGTTGTGACAGCAATGTACGGTGTAAGTGGCTGCGTCGCGGATTGCTGTTGCAGAGATTGCGTGGGAGTAACGTAATTCAAAGACAACGATGATGATGACGTGGACCACGATGATGACGAGGACTCGCTGAGGTCTGCATTGACGCAGCACGAAGCTCCTCACTGCTTCAATATTTTCATTATTCATGGACGTGATCGAGCTACCAGGACAGGCTAAACTCAAATACAAATTATTAAAAAGCTTAAAGTATTCAATAACGCAAGCCTTTTACAG